CAGTAAGAACACTCCCGATGGCCTGCCACCCACCACCATTTCTTAGAGTCGACACGGTGAAATGGCTGACGATAAGTTAGTGAAAGTTTGCAAAGGGAGAATGTCTGTCACCTTGCAGTCGTGCAGATCGGTGATGAATCCGTGGAGGATTACACATTCGCGGTCTGTCTGTGGCAAGATAGGGTAAGCTATGGCTGCCAGGCACATTAGCTCCCTGCGATATTGTCTACGGAATGTCTGGAGCTCTGATGCAATGTGGCGAAACGCTGGTTGGCGGCCCCTGGGGCGTGTGGATGGTTAAGAAGTTGGATAAGTAACTCTGTGGCTCGTGCGAAGTCCAATGTGGGTTTAATTCCTGCGTCAATTGCACGTCGACGTGCTGGGTGAGTTGGGATGGAGGAATGGAACCGTACAATGTGACAAGTAACGACTAATAGATACTTTCCAGTGTTCGGACTATCTCATTACCGCCTTCTATAAATAGACTCTCCTCTTAACATCAACCCTCTCCACCACTCCAATACTGGCTGCGACGTGGTGATGCCGTGGAAATGCGAGTAGATATGGATGGGGAATGACCATTGAGACGCATGCGACAAATGCGTTCTGCCAATCTCTTTCTAGGACCAACGAATGAATCTACCGACCTGGGAGGACCTCTGCCACAGTCGGTCGATCTGGAGACTAACAGTGAAGACTGAAACAGCATTCCACGTGGTCAACCACATCGGGCCCGCCAAAGCCGGAAAAGCGACTCGCAGGCCTCAGGTGCTGTGAGCTCACAGCCCCAAAACCCAGTACCTTTTAACGAGTCCATCTTTTCAACGGATATTACGCCCTCCGACCGCCGACGCACTTATACCACGTCCATCATCACTGTTTCATGTCCTTAGCGATGATGACAACGGCGGCTATCGCTATTTCCATCCCGACCACCTTAAGTACACTCCCGATGCCTTGCCACCCCTCATCACCGCAACCACCACCAGCAACGCGGATTCGATATTAGACTTCCCCGCTTGTAATCGCACCTTCACGTCATGCATCGGTCTGATTTGTCACTTACAAATCCATCGCAACGAGACTGCCGAACCGGTGCCCGAAACAACAGAATATACTCGCAGGACCCGTCTCAGCTGCCTCCACTACCCACTCATATTCAGTCGACGCATTGGCCTACACGGACTCATGCACGCTGACGACAACGGAATTCTGTGTGATGTTTGCACACCAAAGCCACCTCGTACATCTGCAAGCCTCCCCACCATCGGTGCTACCGACACCACCGCCACCACCAAACTAAAACAACACAACAGTTTCTAGCCTACATAGCGTATACTGACACCGCATATGCACATCATGTATCAGTCTGGAAAGTCAGGTGGGGATTCGAACAGTTAGTGGTTCATTCAGCATTCGTTACCCTCAGAGCAGACAGAATGGGCCAGCCGAGTCACCTGACCAGTGACGAAAACGGTGCACCGACGGGCCAAATATGTTGGCTCTAACGCGTTCACGCAGTGATAACTAATCAGTCCATCTGGTTAAAGGGGGAGTGGCAGCTTATGGGAACATTGATTTTGCGGTAGCTACGACAGCCACACAATCGGCAGTGATGAACACTAGTTTCGTCTTGCCTTGTTTAATTTCCGAGGAAATTAGTGAGCGAACTTCGGACCATGCCTGTAATGGTCTGTTCCGAGGGATTTACGCCAAGTTCGCCCATGTATTTTCTCAGAAATTAAATAAGGCAAGGTGAAACTGGAGTTCATATACCAGAACTTGCTCCTGCCTAAAGGCCAATTTTCAATAGAATACAACAGTCAGCTCCCAACGCCAGTAAGAACACTCCCGATGGCCTGTCACCCATCATCATTTCAGATGGTCGACACTGTCGAACGGCCGACGATAAGTTAGTGGGAGGGTGTAAAGGAGAATGTTTGTCACCTTGTGGTCGTGCAGATCGGTGAGGAATCGGTGGAGGATTAGACAGTCGCGGTCTGTCTCCAGCAAGTTGGGGCAAGCTATGGCTGCAAGGCACACTACCTCCGTGCGAAATTGTCTACGGACTGTGTGGGGCTTTGGCGGAGGGTGGTGAGCGACTGGTTAGTGACAGCTGGGGCGTGTGCATGTTCAAGAAGTTGGATGAGTATCTCTGTGGCTCGTGGATAGTCCAATGTGTGTTTAATTTCTGCGTCAACTGCACGTCGGCGTGCTGGGTGAGGTGCTGGGGATATCAACCGCAAAATGTGACAATTTACGAGTAACCGATAATTTCTAGTGTTCGGACTATCTCGTCAGCGCCTGCCATGAATAGACTCTTCTCTTTCAACCCGTCCTGAACGTCC